GGTAAAGCCCAACGGCGCCACCGCAAAAAAAATAAAAAATCGCTTTCGATGAGACCCTTTCCGATTCTCGTTTCGTACAATTTTTCTACCATTGTATTCACCATTTTGTTTCCCACATGTTGATCGAAGAAAAATGCCGACCTGCGAAGGTACAACTTTACGACCTGAAGAGAGTCACATGTTTGGCTTACCTGACTGTTCAACCTGAGTTGATATAGAGAATAAATGAAGCTCAATTCGTCGATTCTACTCTAACAGCCCTCAAGAAAAATGCAGAACATAGAGTTCATTTAGAATTTTGAGTCTCTGCTGTTGGGTTGATTAAATTTTATGATAGGGTGTGTGTTACATGTGACAGTGAGTTGAAAAGGAACATCATGATAGAGGTCCATAGCTCAAAATTTGTCATGCATCCCAGAAGTACTAAGATATATCAAAGTATGCGACCCTGATTTTGGTGGAATGAGATGAAAAAAGATGTAGCCGACTTTGTTTCCAAGTATTTGGTATGTCAGCAAATCAAGGCAGAACATCAACACCCAGTCGGGCTAATTCAGCCATTACCAATTCTGGAGTTGACCGGCTCACCAAGTCTTTCCATTTTTTAGCTATCAAGATGACTGACCCCTTGATTAAGCTAGCAAAAATATATATCCGAAAAATAGTCAGGTTACATGCAGTGTCAATGACAATAATGTCTGACAGGGACCCCAGGTTCACTTCTCGGTTCTGTTCTAGTTTTCAGCAGGCCATGGGAATGAAACTGTCTCTTAGTACTGCATTCCACCCTCAGACCGATGGATAATCAGAAAGGACGAATGCACATTGGAGGATATGTTTCGAGCTTGTGTTCTTGATTTCAGGGGCCATTGGGATGATCATTTACCCATAATAGAGTTCGCCTACAATAACAGCTACCAAATAAATATCGCTATGGCTCCGTACGAGGCGTTGTATGGCCGCCCATGCAGATCGCCGGATCTGTTGGAAAGAAGTGGGTGATAGAAGATTGTTTTGTCCAAATCTTGCAAAGGAGAGTACAGTCAAAATAATTAAGATCAGAAAAAATATCCAGATGGCTCAGAGCAGATAGAAGAATTATGCAGATACCCTAATGAGAGATTTAAAATTTGAGAAAGGTGATTGGGTGTTCCTTAAGGTCACTCCGTTCAAGTGAATCAGTAGGTTTGGCAAGAAGGGAAAGCTAAATCCTCGGTTTATTGGACCATTTGAAATCTTAAAAAGAATTGGCACCGCCGCCTATAGACTGGCACTGCCTCCAGAATTTTTCAAGGTCCATAATGTGTTTCATGTGTCCATGCTACACAAGTACAATCTAGACCCCTCTCACGTCTTGGCCCACAAGCCTTTTTCACTCCAGGAGGATCTGTCATACGATGAGGTACCAGTCGGTATTTTGGACCGAAAGAGTAGAGTACTCCGCAACTAGAAAATTTCTTTCATTAAGGTCCTATGACAGAATCGCACACAGGGAGAGGCCACATGAAAGCTATAATCAGACTTCAGAGCCTAGTATTCCCAACTGTTTGATTGAGTGAGAGAGAAACAAATTTGAGGGACCAAATTTCTTTTAAGGAGAGAGAGTTGTAATACCCGAAATTAATTTTAAAATATTTAAAATTAATATATAGAATATAATTTTTAAATTTATGAATTTTTATTTAATATAAAAATTAAGAAAAATAGGTAGAGGATGAAACTAAAATTTTTTTTTGGAAAAAGTGGTGAAAATTTAGGTTTTAGGAGTGTTTTTGAAAGAAAAATAAAAAACTGGAGGTCAAAACGTAATTTAGAAAAAATGTGTCGCGTAGGATAACCCAGTCAGCAGCCTCGACGAACTAAAGCTCGCCGCGTGCTTCGCTGATGCGGTGCCACACAGGAGGCCACGCTGGCAATCTGCGTGCCCGCAATCGGATGATCCGAATTTTTTGTGTGCATGTGGACGATCTGAATTTGTTCCTTCCTCAGGCATGATCAGACGGTCACGATTAAACGCGATAAACAATTCAGATTCGTTCCTTCTTTAAACGCAATCGTATAGTCTATATCAAATTACGATGAATGATTTATATTTATTTTCTATTTAAACGCGATCGAACGGTCCAAATCAAACGCGATGAATGATCCAAATTAAAAGAAGATGAATATAAATACCGCACTTCACACCCTAACCCTAACTCTAACGCTAGAGAAGAAGAACTAGTCACCGGGAAGGGAGCCGACCGCCGTCTGCTGTTGCGCCGGAGCCACCTCCGACCGCCAAAAAAGGTAAAAAATTCTCTCAATCGCTCGAAATTTGATTTTGAATACCTCCATGGCCAAATCATAGAAAAAGAACAGATGGATGAGCAAAAAACTGTGGGTAAAGCCAGGCGGCGGCGCCGCGGGAAAAATAAAAAATCGCCTTTGATGAGGCCCTTCCCGATTCCCGTTTCGTGCAATTTTTTCACCATTGTATTCACCATTTTGTTTCTCACATGTTGACCGAAGAAAAACACCCAACCACGAAGGTGAGCCGGTGAACCCATCGCACCAGAAAACTCTGTTGCCGGTAAGCTTCTATTTTTTGACTTTTTTTTTGCCAACCGAGGCCCCTTAACGTGTTTTCTCGTATGGATGAGTACAAAATCGGCCAAAAACGGCTAGCCCGAGGCAAACTGCTGCCGCAGGCAATAGTGTCGTCACCGGAGTACGGCGCCACCGCCGTGCCAGAATCCGAAAATTGACCGAAAAGGATTTCTAATATCGATTTTGGATTTTTTTTTGGGTATTTCTAGGTATTTAGAGCGTGTTTTAATCTCCGAATAAAAATTTAGGGAACCCGGAGATCGCTAGTAGGCGTAGCTGAAAATTTAGTATTTCGGACATTGATTCGAGTAAGAATCCCTCACCTTATTCCTTATTATAGAATTAAAGTTTAATTATAAATAATGTGGTATTTTTCGTAATTTAGAAAATATCCATAATTAATTTAAGGTTACTAATAGAGTTGGAACTGGTTATTTATTACTGTTTGTCATATTTTAAGTAATTGTTTGATTCTACAGTTTCGAATGCATGATAATACACTGGAATTGGTAAAATGATTCGGTTGTGTTTTCTTGATGCATATATTGTTTATTTTGCGTGATTACAGTTAAATTGTGACTATGATGATTAAATATAAACGGAAAATTATTTGATTAAGTGAATTGATGAATGGTAGCCTTACTGAATATCCTAGGAGATAGTGGACGAACCGGGTGCATAGGAAACCCTACTGTGAATGTTACCTCATACCGAATGGGGCATCGAAGATTGATATTTTAGCGCTCATATCGGACGGAGTATGGGGACAGCCCGTTTCACCCTCATATTGGACGGGGTATTAAAGGATAGTATTTTGGCGCTCATACCGGACATAATATGGGTACGGCCGGTTAGTGAAAAATGTTGAATAAAGGTTTACGCGTAGTGGGGAACATCCCTATGGACCCTCATGAATAATAGTTGGCAGATAAAAGAGAAAGTTGTTGTTCCGAATGTTGAATATGAGATTATAATATTGGTTGTGTTATTACCTCTATATGTCAGTTTTGAAAATTTCGTTACGATAAGTGTTCAATAAATGATTTTATTTATGATAAATGAATTTACTCAAATTAAGAGCTCTATTAGTAGTTTTCATGATTTTTACTGACATTCATTTCTGTATCAGTGAGTAGTGTGATATTCTTACTGGGTTAGTATAGCTCATTCTTTCATTAACCATTTCAAATTAGGAGAACCAAGATTCAGATCTCGATCCATAAGAGGGTTGCAAATAGGATGTTTAATTGTTTACTTTTCCATTTATTTCTTTGATTTTTCATTGTTCTTTTAGAATGGTTATTCCCATAACCCTATTAGATGTTCTGAATTATTATATAAGGAATGTAAACTTTAATATTATTATTTTACTTTTGCATTTAAATTTATAATTTATTTCTTTTTAAATTTCGGGTCATTACATAATGAGTACTTTGAATTCCAATTATGTAAACATGAACTTCCAAATTTAATCCGTGTAACTAAAACCAATTAATTCAGGTTAATCAATTGGTTAACATAACAATATGAATTCATTGCTTCAATAATAATGCCATTTTACATATTCAAAATATTTGATACTTTATATATTTCTTAATAATTAATAATCCAACTTCTAAATTATGAGAATAAAATATTCTAGTTTATATATTTCTTAATAATTAATAATTTAACTTCTAAATTATGGGCATAAATTTCTTTGAAAGGTAATTAAGACATCAATTTAATATATTAAATAAAGAATAAAATTTAATCAAGTAAAATATAACATAATGTAAATTTTTTAAAATTATAAAACAAGATAAAAGAGGAAAGCAATTTCTCAGTATTGTCAGCCTCTCTTTTTCCCGTTCTTATCAGTAATCTCCATGTCTGTATCTGTAACTTGGTGGATGATATTCTATTTGATTCCATGATATTTGTTTCACCAAAATTCTACAACTCAAGTTGGAAACTTTTCCATCTCTCGCAATATTACCTGCGATTGATCGAAGAACAGACCAGGTAGGTACTCTTCTTTATATGTTTTCGTTTTTTTTTTCTGTAGGAACTTTCTTCATTTCAAGGTCTAGTTGGTTCGATTCTCTTACCGAGGAGTATTAATTGAGTTGCGGTTCTGGATTGAAATTTCATGAATGCAGTTTCTAGTGTGGAATTTGTGTTTACCACTGTTTTCGTGTAGTGGATTTTTGAAACGATGAAATGATTTATAACCATAAGTGTTGAGGGCGTGTTTCGTTTATTTCTGGAAGTGTTTTTCCTCATTCAGAAATGAAAACAATCTGGATGCTTCTGATACTATCAGTAATCTTATTGTTTTTGTTTGGACTTTGAACTGGATTAACCTTCCAATGAGGGCAAATACAAGTAGATGAAAGTTCGAGCATTTGCCTTTGTGTATAGCCTGTCTAGTGTTAGATCCAATTCACTTACAGGGTCACAAGCAAACCTTTGAGAAACATATGGGAGAATCTAGTAAAGTCAAGGCTCTTTCTACCACTATCGGTGAACGTGAAGAGGGAACTACTGATAAACAAGATCCATCTTCTGAGGTAATCTTTGAAATTTTAGCAATTACTTATTCAAAAAGAACAAAGTATCTTCTTATCATTTTTAGACTATGAGCATTTTTCGTCAATATATTTCGTGTTCTATGTTTCAACTCAGATGTTCTGGATTGATGGTATGCTTGCTCTTATCTTATTTTAACACTTGAAGAGCAACAAGTATATAATGCACTTGAACTAGACGTACAACGTTTCAGGTGATAAAGAGGTTTTAGCAATAAGTTTACACGTAATAAGTTCTGTGGCCAAGCTATTTCTTGCTTTGTTAGAGAGGTGAAAGTTGTTATTATTAGTAAAAACTGCTCTAAAAGTGTAAACAATGTAAATGTTGTGTTTTAAGTAATGATGGTTTTAAGTCAGGTTGTATTGGTGAAACTCTGATGTT